ATTAGAACCTTGAGCGAAATTGTAGGAAAATGCTTCTGGAGTTCTGCCTGTAAATAGGTTCCTTGGTGGTGGTGGTGGTGGCGCGAAGTTATGTCTGTCCAATGGATTATCGTATTCTTTTTCGTCAGCTTGCCAGGACCTTAGATTCGGTGGTTTCTTAGCTTCTTCTGCTAAATTATACTGAACGGACCTGAAAAATAATGGTGAAATATTTTATGTTGCCATTGAATAAAAAGACGCATTTACAATTTAGTATTTATCCTTCTTTATTTTTTACTACAACAGAAACAGATTTATGTCTCACCTTTGAATGATTTCGGGAATAGGTGGCGCAACTGGTAAATGTTCTCCACTAGCTCGAAAACCATTTGAATCAGCGATGTAATTAACGGTGTAAGTTATGCCATTATCACCGACGTATGAATATGACCCTTCTACGACTTGTTCTTCTTTTTCAGTACCCATATTTTCCATATGGCTGTGTTGCACGTAGTGGGTTTGATCCGCACCTAGAGCCCTGAAAGTAATTGTTGTTTGTTAATTTTTTGTAACTATAACACTAAACTACTACACATCAAACAGAGAACGGGCAGCTGCGCTCTTTGAAAAACATCAATCTTTTAAACTGCGATCTCCAACCCGCCTGCCAAGCGTGGAGATTATGGCAAAACCCTCCACTATAGTGGAGGAGGCTCATAGTCCAGCAGTGGACTGTAAAGGGCTGTTGATGATGATGATGATGATAACACTAAAATTTAATTTGACAAGGACGAAAGAAAAAAGAACTGATATGTAATGGAAACATTAGTAAATGAAAATGTATACTTACTCATAGCTGAAACTCCCATCCAAATCCATTTCATTTGACAATCGGAGTATGGGTATTGCTGGTTCCGTTGTCGAAGAAATGGCGAATCCCGCAGGAATATAATGAGGGTTCTGTGCAGAAGCTGCTCTAATCTGGTCTAACCCGCGATCGTTCCTGTGCGTATCAACCGATATTATCATATTCCTTGGGGTTTGATTTATTGGGTTCGGTGTTGAAGGTCCCGTGGGAAAATCTCTGACTGGAAACCGCATATCAACTCTATCAATAGGATTATGATAATTCGTCATTTTGGGCATTTGTCTCATTTCCCTTCTTTGTGCTTGTTGGGACTGCTGTGCGTGTTGATTATTTTCGGTTACATTTCTTTTGAATTGCGGCGGAGGGTGTGGTGTCGATGACACTCTTAATTTATTTCTTTCTTCGTGCTCTTTATCATCATCTTCATCGAATATTGGGACTAATGTAGATGACAAAATTACCGGGAACGGTGATGGATAAATTGATGGTGCTTTAGTACCGGTCGGTGGTAAATAGGGAAATGGTAGGTTATTTGAATTTTTAATTGGAAAATAAGGCACAGGAGTGTGAGATTCAGGTGGGAGATAAATTGAACTGTCTGAGGCAAATACACCTGAATTTGGTTTTTGGAATTGGGGTGGGAATCCATAATGCTCATTGGCTATGATATGCCCTGCATGTTTAAGTACTAAAGCTGTGAGTAATACCTGAAAATAAATTGATTGATTTAGTGAAATCACAGACTTACTTTGAAATGCAAAAATCCTTAAAATCCATGCGAGGCACTGTTACCAAAACACTATCACACTTACCAGCTTCATTTTCGAAGCTGTCTTTCAAAATTGACTTTCAGAATTTAAAATTGTTGTCACGTCACTCTTTAACACTTGTAGAAAATAGACTGGTAATGAAAATGAATTCCGCATATATTTATATGCACGCGATATGTCTGTGCCCAGGCATTCGTGAAAGATCGCTTAGCTCCGAAGTGTTTTCTCCTGTTCCAAGCGGAGTTTTTGCTATAGTTTTCCTGAGTCGATTGATAATACACTCTGTATAATGCAGTTTTGTAATTACTGGTTTGTAGAATTTGTGTGTAAGAAATATTTGTGTCCGCATTGTAAAGATTTATGATAAAACAATACTGTTGTTACGAGTCCATTATTGATGAAACGCATAAGATGTCAACTCATCCGTCTTAATATGTAACTTATCTTAATTCTTACATTAAACTGATATTTAAATTAATTTAGATTGCTAATTATTTTTAAAAATCTGTTTAAAAGATTATTTTAGAAGCTTTATTATTTATTCATTAGCTTATTTAGAAGCCTTTAGTAAAATGTTCTTTTACTAAAAGCTTCTTTAATAAACAAACGTAAGATGTGTATATGAGAGAGTGAATAGGCACTTACAGGGCAGATATGTACCATCCTATACTGCATCTCACCTAACATCAGGTGCCATTGCGGTCAAATACCTGCCTTGTTCTGCATAAAAAATGTTTGCAAAAATGATCTCGTAGGGGAATGTCCGATACGTTGACAATAAAGATATAATTTTATGTGAGATCATCCCAGGTTCGCATGATGCAAGGTCGGTAATGGTCTTATGGCCAATGTCATTGGCCTGCCGACCGGTTCCGAGTTTGGGGGTTACGCCCTTGCACTGAGAAACAACGGATTCTTAAATGTGGCGGATATGTTATAAAATTGAACTTATGTGGATTTTCCCAAAATTTACTGACTGCATGCGTACTGCATGGTATTCTCTGTATTCTTACATTCTTGGCAGTCAACGAAGATCTTACAATGTCTCTAATACTCGTAGAAGTGTCAAGCTGCATCTCAGAATCAATTAAGTTACACTATTATTTTTTTCTTATCTTATTTTTGCAAGTGGGCTTTTAAAGAGCGCTTTAATTAAACATGTTCCAGTATTAATGTTACGGTCAAAGTGATAAATGTGAAAATTATGAATAATCGCCGGTTATTATGAATAATTACCGCATGATTTGGTAAATGTGATTAATATGAGGTCATTTATGTGTGTATAAAACTAAATAGGCGGCCCCGCCGCACCATAACCTATTTTTCACTTTAAATCAAAAAATTATGTTATAGGCATCATGGAAAAGTAATATTATGCAAGAAACATTCCAAACTCATTATGCCAAATTATATTAATATATGATATCAAAACGTTCAAAAGTTTGGCTGTACACGAGCACGTACACAAGATGTTGTTCTCTTTTATGAAATTTGTTAGTACTAAGGTTGAATTATTAAATAATCATTGTTAAATGTGATTAATTTATCACTTTTACTGCGACTGTTGGTAATTATTCATAATAACCGGTTATTATTAATAATTTTCAATTTATCACATTAACCGTAACATTAACACTACCACTGCTTCGGGACATAGGCCAGTGCTGAGAAGAAGCAGCGCAAGAAACTCAGACTCTACATTGGGCATACTTCAATCGTTATTAATATTAATGTTCACTATATTTGCTACAAAAATAATAATAATAATAATAAGCCAGTGCTGGAGAGCAGCACCTGCAAGATATACTTTGACCGCGCCATACTTACCGATCGAACTATACACAATAATAGACCTGATATCACCTTAATTGACAAACAAAATAAATCAGTACATATTAAAGACATAGCCGTTCCTAACACACACAATTTGCATAAAACCATAACAGAAAAAATACATAAATATACCGAGCTTAAAGAAGAAATTCTGAAAATATGGAAAATGGAAAAAGTATACATTGTACCGTTGGTGCTCTCCAGCACGGGTGTCATCCCAAACCACTTGCTAACTGCCCTACGCAATTTGGACATTAAAGAAAATATCTATATGACTATGCAAAAGGCAGCGATTCTCAACAGTTACACCTGTCGTATCGTCAGAAAGTTCATGCAGGACGACTCCAACTCCGCAATAATATCTGAACACGTAACTCACTTGGCATGAGCCCGTGAGTTAACGTTATACCGAAGAACTTATGGACTTCGAGTAAAAAAAAAGCCTAAGAAATAATAATATAAACTTTATTTCCGAAAGGTACCTACACAACAAATTCAAAAAATTCACTGGTGTAATTAAAACAATTGGATAACTTAAGACTTACTAGCAGTCCCCAAACTAGGTAATCCTGTATTATGGGGACTTGATAAAAGTGAATCTTTTATTTCTTATCACATGCTTATAAGATAAATCTCAATCAAAACATTTGCAAGATACTTATTTTACACCAACTTGTAAAAAGGCACATTCTTCTATTTAACCGCAACAAAATATTTTTGGAAGGCAGCCGTCGTTAAGTCTGCATCGGTTTCTCAGAACACAAGGATTGGGAGAAATCTTGCCCTAACGAGCTGATAGCGCATAATAACTGAATATATTTAAAAACAAGCCTTATTAATTAAAGCTCAAGATTGAAAACTTAAATGACTGTAAGCATTAATTAAATTTTATAATTTAAGTTAAGGGTTATAAGTTGCGGTTTTGGAAAGAGCAAGATTGAACATTAAGGACTTGATTTAATTTTGAAAAGAGTCACTTGTTTTTACAGATGATTAAAAATGTTATCTTGGTAGTTTGTTTTTCAAAAATAAATTTATTTTCAGGACAATATTTTCGTTAAATAAAAACTTGATTATAAATTAAAACACGTAAATGCTACGCATAGAAAATGTCAGGCATTTATTACCTACCTATGTATTAAAAAATATGTCTCTAGTTCTCTACCATACTTTATGACAATTTATGGTCACTTTGGCTATTTTTAAATTAATTATTTATTTTTATTTTTATTGTAGCTGTAATTGATAAATAATTTGTTTTTTTGTTACAGGTAATTGTGATAATATTAATTGACCGACTGGTGTACTTAGCGGTAAGACAGAATAATTTGATAAATCCGAAATTGTTACTTTAGTAAATTATACTAATTTATTTTTTTAAAGGTTATAAAATATGGTCTCTCTAGTTCAATGTCAAGATGGGAAATACAAATGAAATTACTTTCTGTTTTATTCCCAATTTAGATCTACACGCTTGGATCGATCTGTTTGAAAAGTAAATAAAACACTTGTAATATTGATATTAAATTTATTATATAAAATTATCACTGGCTTTGAACATCCTTAAATCAGTATCACAACCATACTCATCTAACAGTCATCATATTCACAATAGCTCATCGTGAAAAAAATGACTGTATATTATACAACTACTATCGTAAGGAGGTAATGCATTCGTATACCTATCATAGATTAATACTTCAAGATCTTAAACTCTCGTGTAAATCTCAATAATTTACAATGTAAATAACTAATTAAACAAGTTATTTACCGTAACCCGGGTAGTTTTGTTGGGGGTTGTAAGATGGCTGGGATGGATAGTAAGTAGGCTGATTTGGATAATAACTTGGCTGATTTGGATAGTAAGTTGGCTGATTGGGGTAGTAAGTTGGCTTTTGCGTCGGGTAGTAGCCAGTCTGGGGCTTGTTCTTTTCAGCTTCGGCCTTCGCTGCTTCTTCCTTGGCGTTCTGTTCGATGGCACTGTAACAAAGTGGAAAATATCTATTTAATATCGCCAAAAATGATTGGTCAATTAATTGCACTGAGCTTAAAAAATGGGTCGTGCTCGTGACAGTCGAAATAATGAGTTAAGTGACGTTTTTGAGTGTGTTAAAAGTCATGTCAAACAAAGTATAAATCGTTTCAGGAGAAAAAAGTCAAGTGTAAAAGAAAAGAATTTTCACACGAAAAGTTTCAGTATACTCTACATAAGTTACGATGATGATAAACTGCCGAAGACACTTTTTATGGCTGAGATAGCGATAAACGGTCCATAAAATTTTTGTCAGTAAGCTTTACGTAGCTCACGTACAAAATCATTTTAACCACGCATGTAAGTAGGACATAAAGTGATGTGAGATACTGTAACAGGTGCGTCGTAGATTGTGCTAGAAATAGTGCTAAAATATCCAATCATATCCTACAATCCTATCATTATACACCTACAGTAGTGGCCATAAGTTATAAGCCACGTTAAAAAGAGACAACTCCGTATTTTGGACAACGTCAATGAATTTGTAGATTTATCTGCAATTATAAGCAATTAATCTTCCAAAACTAGAGATTTATTTTGTGTAGAAAATATTTTGTATATGGCTTTATAATGATGAATATGTACAATACATTTCAATTAAAGAACGATTAAGGCAAACATTCGATTAATTTGGCTATTTGAGTGGGCGGGACTTAGCGGTTTATGTAAAATGAAATGGAGACTTAATTGGAAACGTATTAAACTTTGCTGAAATAAAATACAATTACGTATTGAAATTATACTTTTTACTGCTTTTGTAATTAATAAATGTTATGACGTAAATATAAAGAGTCGTTATTCATCTATTTTTATTCAGTTTGAAAGGCAATCTTTTGAAATGCAAACTATAAGGAATTTTTGAAGTTCCATTCTGTATTAGGTTTCTGCTTTAGCAATTTTATACCACAACCTAATTCAAGAGTATCGTGTTCATTTTCCTTCCACAATCCTTTTAGTCTCATCTTTCACTTTAGCCTTTTGTACAAAACAAAAGCCTGTCTCCTTTGTTTAAATATTATTATTATAGAAACACTCTGAAAAGAGTTTTCGTGAAAGCTACTAACTTTATTGAATTCTTATAAAACTAATTATCTTATAGAGAAAAAATATATATATATATATACTCCCAAGCCGCTTTCGGCTATGGTAACTGCGACAAAATTCCTTTAGTCCGCAATAAGAGGGCTACGCTGGGCTGCCCTATCATGTGCCCTCACATGGCTGCAGTAGCCAATCTTGTTGGTAAACGTGCGCGAACAATGTCGACACGTTAGGACACCGCTGATGTAGTTGTAGGGGATAGCCGCTGCTGGTCTGGCTTTAAGAGCATCGCGCTTCGAGTCAAGATCAGATTTCCGCTGCTCTTCGAAGTCGTTAACTTTTTTCCGCACCAGGCGCCTCCACTCCAGACGGTGGCTGGCAGTTTTTTCCCACTTTAGACACCCTATATCTTTGCTTTAAACTATTATTTTGTCGATTGACAGAAATCGTCAACATGCGTGCAAAATTCATAATTCTATACTTATTTATGTCTTGTTTCTTTAATGTTACACGCTTTACACAATTAATACGCAATTAAATCAATATTGTATCAATTATGATCATACTGATATCTGTACAAACATAAGTTTTATACGGCTGACAATAGTGACTGAGTTTCTTGCGCTGCTTCTTCTCAGCACTGGCCCATTTATTGTCCCGAAGCAGTGGTAGGGTTAATACTGGGACGTGTAAAAGTGCTTTTTAAAAGCCTATTTGCAAAAATAAATGAGTTTTATTGAGTTTCCCAATTACCAATATTGCTTCGTGATTGAGTCAAGACAAGTTACGTCTAACGGAGTAATTTAGTAAAGTAGTCCATATTTGTCTTATTAGGTTATGTGTAACCGCCATTTATTATGGCGTATTACAAACAACTTTGCCCCATAACTCACTGGATGCTCTCCCGGGAAAATGAGGCGAAGAATAATATACTACGATACAACATACTTTCACAGAAGAGAAATATATCATGGCGGTATGTAGTTATTTCTTAGGACAGATTGTTTCGCTAGATGTCTTCATATTTTTGCTGATGTACTGGAGTCTAGTTGACACTATTTCCATAGGTAAATTTCAAAAGTGTAACGTGGTTAGTTAAACCTGAACTCTTTTTATAGAGTTTTTGTAAAATCTTAGCCATTAATTTAGACAGGTGGTTTTGAAAAAGTAATATAACCTGTATTATGAATAATATCCTTTTAACCGATTGAGTCCCAGACGGCATTAATTAATGTCATAACAATTGATTATCTATTGTGTCTAGATTCGCGGGGCTTGAAGGATTAAAAGACCTAATAACGACGAAGAATGTTAAAAACTGATCCTAAAATATTGGGAACCTACAATCGTCATTTTTTTCATAAATAGTTTTTAAAGAAATCGTTAAAGGTATGCCGTATCGCCATTCGCGAGCTGTCGTCGCCTTTCGCGTACTGTCAACCGCGCGGCGAAGCGTTTACGTTACGGTGCGGATAAGTGTGCGTTGCAGTACCTATGGAGTTTCATTCAAAGAATACTGACCGCCTCGAGATAATACGTTTACGATCCTTTCCAGGTTGATAAGTGTGCTGCTAACGTCCTTTACTCTTTTATAAAATATATTTTAGATTATGCTATCTAAAGTCTACAAAGTTGTTCGTGAGAGGAATTTGTAAATAATTAGGTTACCGCGGTATTTTACCGATAAAATGTAGCCAACAATAACTTTCCAGGAATCTTTGCGGCTAGCTTAAAAGTAATTTTGCTGAAACGCTCTATACCCTGGATAGGAAAATTAATTAAATATGAAGCCAGCAGCCCGCTAACTGACGAACACGTAATCAATCAACTAAGGCTTAGGACACACTATAGGTCTTATTGATAAAATAGATAATTAAATATTTTCTTAGTCCGGTGGTCTAGACACCACGCTAAAATAAACACGGGAATATTCCCACCGCTGCAACTCCTGTGTAGCCAGGATCTACAGCTTGACCGCCAATAAAAACCCAACCAGTGAAGGTCAAGTTTGTCCCGGGGAAAAGTTAAACTGTCATTGGACCCGCAACGAAATTAATCAGAAGAACGTAGGAAGATTTCGAAGTTAAGGTTCGACTGACATCAGGTGAGATACAGGCCAAGAGCTTCCTCGTTGTGAATAAAAAAAAACTTTTATCCAATGAAAAGGGGATAACAGGTGAAAAAACAAACTTTAACCAGGTTTAAATAACCTTTAAGAAAAGATATACACCACGGAAAGAAAGCATCATTTATGAGGACCTATCTTGTGTGTAGCTGCTAATAATATTTTTCACATAAGTAATCGCTTAATTCTATAATAATAAGGATGTCTTACGCCTGGATCGCGGGCGGGATCGGTGGTGGAGTGGGCAGGTGGTCGCCAGTCGCGTGGAAGCCGGTGTGGTCGGCCCAATAAGTCACGGTGTAGACCTTGCCATCGGGACCAGGGTACGAGTACCAGCCCTTCTTGACCAGGCTCTCGTCGTCTGTGTTGGGGTTGGTGAAGTATCCCTCTTCGCCAACGTGGGTTCCGTCTGCGATCTCGTATCTAGTGACAAGCAAAATGCAATTATATATATATATATATATTTTTTTTTTATTTGTGGCAACCAAACCTCTCTGGGAGGTTTATTTCTGCCAATGTCGAGTGAAAAATATTGACATAGTTATCAATAGAACGTGGGTGTTTCAGTTCTATTGATTTTTCATGGATTCCGTGGAGTTAAGTATGCCCGTAAGCAGGTTTCGAGACGCCACCGGGTCCAAAGCGGGTTGTTCATACGACAACCCACTCGACACTCGATGCGCGCTCAAATTCGAAGTATTTCAATGTTTTTTATAATTTATCACTTCACTGCACTTTAGAACACAAAATAACACCAAATTTGTACACTAAAGTCCATTAAATAATAAATTGAAACCATTAAAACAGATCGACCATGCTTCCCGTTCAACTACCCTCAACGGAATCCCCAATGCAATTATAATTAAAGGAGTAATAAACATGTTGACACCACCGATCAATTGCCGTACTTTTTAAAACTGTCAAAACGAAACTCTCCCACAGATTTTGTATGGCACTACAAGCAAGTGACGTCACTATTTTGTGAACTCAAATAAACTACTTTTTTCAATTACAATGCGACCAAAATCGTTATTTACAGGTAATTTAAAATTAATTAAGTTTTTAAGACCAGAATGAAGTGTCTTTTTAGAAAAGTTGTGATTTCGAATTATTGGAGAATAGTGTCAAATTGTCCATTTGACGATACAACCCGATCGAGTACAACATTATGTTAAACTTTGTAGCATCTTATGTAGTAACAAGTGATCGGGCGCGATCGTAGGCTGAGTTGCACCATCTACTTTAACTTTGACAAACGTCAAAAATCTGTCAAACTCAATACAAAAGCACCAGTTATTGTTATTGTTACGGTTAAAATAAGTTGGTGCAACTCAGCCTTAAATAACAGCCCTCAAACTTAAGCTGGGTGCAGATGGGTGTAGTGTGTAATGTAAGGTTACGTGTAATGTAACACGAATTCTACGTGTGGACGGCACTACGAGCATTATATGTAAAGTGCTGTCCATACTATTTCCATTACATTACACGATACATTCCATTACACGATACATTCCATTACGCGTTACACCCGTCTGGACCCGGCTTTATATCGTCTAAAACACAAACCTCTTTTACTTAATTAATACCTATTGTTTATGTGGTCATTTTTAAATGATTAAAACTTTGCAGTTATAAACCGCAGGTAGGTATAGCTAAGCCATTTGTCAGTTCTGCCTAAATTATATGAATAAACACATTGATCATCTATTTATCCAAATCAACAGCCTAACAAAAAATTGAACAATCAGCGATTGTCTTTCAACACCTACCAATATAAAATAAATGTTATATGTGAGTATTTCTCAAAAAAAGTGTACGTAACGAAACGGTAGTAACGAAATAGTAAGGCCATAAGGCTTGTTATACATTGGCGAAATATTGTGAATGCTCTTTATTTATTCAATTCGAAATATTTGTAAGTATGCACCCAAATACGGGGTAATATTAAGGGTTTAGAAATAAAATAAGGGAGTAATCATTCATACTATTTTAATAAAATTATTTTTGTTCCATCATGTTTATCCATTTTGAGTCGTTCTCTGTAAGCTTTTTGCCTTTCGGCATTGGTTTTTGGCGGCATTCCTAAAAAAACAAAAGAAGTAATCACATAAAAACGTAATCTAAATGATTTGATAATTTTTTGCTGGTGGCACTTCTGTAAAGCAGATAGTATCCAATCCTTTTGTTATTAACGCTCTATATTTTTTGAAATAAATTAAGTAGTGAATATTACTATGCTTAGTCAGGTAATAACAGTATACACTCAGCATTATGTTGTACTTTTTCGTAACGTAACGAAATTCGTAAAAAACGTAACGAAATATTAGACAAAATGAGATCAGAAACAAGTATTTTTTTGATAAAATTTGTTACAGCAAATATAAAAGCTTACTAAATGTTCGTACCACACGTATTACAAAAAATGGTTAAATGAAGACTTACCGTTCTATATAAAATCGCTGATTTTACTGCCTGTTACGAAAAAGTAATCCCACAAAACACACACGTTTTCACTAATTTTCGCGATAGATGTTATGGCGGAGACGTCAGGCCAACAGCCATTCAGAGTGCAGCTATTGTTGTCCGTGTAAAATAAATACGGAATTGTTCAGAAACCATGGGAAAGTAGAAATAAATCGTAACTAAAGAGTAAATAACGAAATAGTAAATGAGAGCGACTCATTTTGTTTTTTTGCTTTAAATTGCCAATTCATTATGACACCCCATAGAAAATCAATTTGATACAGAAACTGCGATTACTGTAGAACGATAATACAAAGAAATTTACAATAATTTAGTTACGTATCGCATTTTATGAAACAAAAATACATGAAAAAGCTAGGGTGGCAAACAGGTTTTTGTATGAAAGGTAAAAAAGGACTATTTTTAAAATATCTAAATATTTGGTAATAAGTAGGATTATAGCTATAATTCTTCGTCATCTTAAAGATTAATATTCATCCTTTAATATTGTGTGTGTGTTTTTTTTGTGTGATGATTTATAAATATAAAACTTTTGAACTGTTTCAAAGCACACTTTTTTTTTTCAAAATGTACATTTTTTTTGAGAAATACTCATGTAAATCTACAGCCTCCGGACTTCACCATCAATTTGTGTACTTGTCATTGACAATGATCTTGAGATCTTTATTATGTACTGAACGAAGCGATCGTTCATTCGATCCCACCGGTCAGTCGGATGGTCAACGAACTATCGATTCGAATATAAAAAGATTATCGAGTTTGACTGTGACTCATTGCTTGGGTGATAATCTGGTTAGCATTAACTCCTCGTTTAATCACCTTATTAGGTATAAGAAACTGTATTTAGAGAATCTAAATGCATATTATAGATTTAAAAAAAAAAAATATGTTAGAAGTTTACTACAATGAAAAACACAAAGCCTTGTTCGACTAATTATGAGAACTGCAGATCTTCGCTTTCACTCTTATTAGTTTAGAGATGGTTGAAGTAAGTTTCTTTTATTTTTGCTGAACGACAAAGATTGAGCCTTGGTCCCTAGAGGCAAAAGTAATCAGAGTCAGAATAAAAAATGAAAAAAAATTTGGTATTCCAAAAAACTGCAGATCTTTTTTATGTTGGGTCGTGTAGATACCTACGATATTTTGTACGGCTGCCTGAACAGTTAGGTATGCTCGTTTTTGCTACAAAATAACCGGATTTTGCGTGATTTTATGACAAATATATACAGTAGGTATTCCGTTCCGTTAGATCTCGTTTTGATATGGAATTTGTTCCGATATTCCGCGTATTAATTTAAATACTAAATCATGTGTGACCCAATTCGGGATTCTAATAACTGTTTAATATTAGCTTTCGATTATTGTAAATAATAAACAATTGATTAGTTCCCGATAATAATACGTTGAATTAACTAATGAAATGTTTCAATTTCAATCATTGTTTAGAAATGTAATTGAAGATGTGCATTTTGCCTGGCTAGAATAATAAACATTTGTGTAAACTCAAGTTAAGCATTAACTTACGAATTTTCGGACTACACAATTTTACGAGTATTTCAAAAAGCATTCAAAGTCAAAGTCAAAATGTGTTTATGCCCCACTGAGAAGCTTGATTGTGTCAGTCACCCAAACTCTTTAGGAAAATAACGATAATGAAAATCACAAATGACATAAGGAACAAAATCATTTAGTACTGTTGTATTTAATGTTATTATTATATAATGACATTTATATGCAAATCTTGAGGAGTCCAATACTTTTACGGATTGGCAACTAAGTAGGTACCTTCTTAACTCTCTGAATGATCAAAATTTTCAAAATCAACGCATCACTAGTGACAATATTGGGGGGGTTAAATGGAGTTTTAATTAAACAGCTGAAGTAGTAATAAAGTTCAAAGTTATATTGTTAAATAAATAATCTTTCAGTGAGTCGGAGTAGTTGTTTGGCTAGCAAAAGGTCGTGGATTCAAGTCTCAACTGAGGCTGGCATATTCGTTCGTTCATTCGTTTCAGCCGAATGACGTCCACTGCTGGACAAAGGCCTCCTCCAAGGTTTTCCACAATGAACGGTCCTGCGCTGCCCGCATCCAGGCTCTTCCCGCGACCTATCTAGCGTTAAAAATAAATGAACCGTGGTACTCACTCATATTTGTAACTGCCATTGTCACCATAAGACTGTTCGTTCTTGATCACTGGAATTGGTGTAGTTGTGCTCGACGGCGCGTATGTAGGAGCCCATGTGCTTGAAGGGTAGTTGTGAGAGGGGTAGTAGTTGTTAGAGGGGGGAACATAGTTGTTAGAAGGGGGAACATAGTTGTTAGAGGGAGGAACATAGTTGTTAGAGGGGGGAACATAGTTGTTAGAGGGAGGAACATAGTTGTTAGAAGGAGGAACGTAGTTGTTCGAAGGGGGAACATAATTGTTCGAAGGGGGAACATAGTAATTATTGTTCTGTGGAGGCTTGTAGTATTTGGCGTTATCCCATGAGTTCTGGTTATAGTTGTAGCTGCTTGCAGCTTCTTGTAGAGTTTCCTGTGATGTTTTTAGAAGCTCTACAGAAGCTAGAGCTTCTTGGTCTTCTATTCCCTTATTCGTTTCGGATTCTTCGGCACAGGCTATCGCCAGCACAACGGCGAGTATGCAAAACTGTAACAAAGACAATAGTTTAATAAATCTAGTGTTAAGTTTTTTTGTACTGCCAAGAAGTTTTGGCCATCAATATTAACGAGTAGCGAATTAAAATAAAAACGTGCGAACTGCTTCAAAAGGATTTATCTGATAACAATGACAAGACACCCAATTAAAATGTCCATCCAGTTTTTTTTGTGTCAAAATTAAATTAGTTAAATATTTAACTGGCTAATATTAAGAGAATCATTTACGTTTTAATGTGTCTTTTTATATTACATTGCATTGCGATCCCATGTAATTATTAAATAATTTATGCAATTCGTTTTGTGCTTTAAACTAGGTTTTTTGTGCGAATACACAATGAACATGAACATTAGCAATTATAACATAATTTAAGAAATCATTGTTGTTAATAATATTAAATTTAAACTTAGAGCATCATTTAATTTTATCTGAATAATATTTTCCAAAAAATATGACACACATTAAAATTAAAATAATTCCGTAGAAGCGTCCTGGCGATTGGAAAACTTTCCTTGATCACACTATAAAAACATAAATTTCAACAAAATTTAAGCTTTATAGTAATGGTTACGAGTTACGACCGTATCAGAAACAATCCAGCACTTTTTATCACCACAACAATTACTAAACTACGCGGATATTTCAGGAGTTGCTAAGTACAGTCTACAAAACTTGAACAATTGCACACTTTTTCACACTTAATCTGAATTTAATTTTAGCTTCAAGATCTCAAGGACTCACCAGCTTCATTTTAAGGTCCTTCTACACCGGCGTCCTGTCCAAGACTGTGACCGCATGGTGTCGCCCCACATTTTTATAGGAAGTGAATCCTGCGCTTGGGCACAAAATTCCGCGCGCGGCAATGACCTCACAGAGATGATACATGATTTGAAAATCGCAAGATTAGGGAAAATGCAAATGCTATGGTTAGGTCATCAGGATTTATGGGTGAGGTACTTGTTTTTTCTGGTTAGGATGAACATTATGATCCTTAATGTTACTAGACTTAGCTGATAAATCTTTTAATGGTTAAGAGCTTTAGCCAAGCGGGAAGTGTAGCAAATGCTCACTTTTCCTCCGGTGAATTAAAAGGGTCGTTTTCCTGTAGTAGATACTAAATGACCTGATGATTATGATGATAGAGCTTTAGCAGGTTTTGAAATAATGTTCATAAAGCTATTTTTAGGATTTTCTCCATTTTGCAGTTTATTTATTGATTAAGAACTTACTTGGTGACAACACGTTACAATAATTTTCCAACACTATCACGGAACCAGAAAAGCTTTCCACTGTCATTGCGGCAGTTTAGGAGACCAAATGGAGGTCTAATGTGTCAGTGGATAAAAAGATGCGTAGGTACGGCTGCTTATTTAATATTATGTGTCAAATAGGTATAAACAGTTGAGTTATGAACTGCACTGCAAATATAAACATTTCATTGTGAAAAATTCTTAATTTAGTGCACTTTGGAATTACCTACTGCTTGTAAAAGCAATGATAAACTAATTATTTACAGAAGTGACTGGCCATCCTTCATCTAACAAGATTAGTATCAATGGCATCGCGATAACAAAAAGCGAGTCGGTCACGTGCACCAAGGGTTCTGAATTTTTGCTCACTCTATATTATCGAAATATTGTCAAATTCAAAACTAACTTAACTTTACAGTTGTAATAATGTCCTCCGCACTATCTAACTACCTACAGGTGTAAGTTGGTTGAAGTAGTATTATAGATACTTTACATGTTTTAATTTGCTCTTAACCAACGCATGACATGGAAGCTTAATCTAAAAAGGTCTGTTTATTTTAATTAATTTAGTATCTCTACCCATTATGGGATGATTGTATGTAATCCTAGCTAGACTGCATCTCACTTAACATCAGGTGCGATCACGGTCAAATACCTGCCTTGTCCTGCACAAAAAAGCGACGGAACCCTAAAACATTTGGCAAAGTCACAAATCAGATACGTCACGTATTTCATTCACAAAATGCAGTAGGCGTATGTTTGTGATATGGTTAGAGCATGTCGAGTCCAAACCTTCGTGAATTGGTCTAATTGATGCTAGAAGGTCTAGCACTTTCAAAGTGAGTCACTGTGTTTTTCGGTCATAGGTGCATATTGGGCGTTCAATTATTTAATAACAACAATACAGACAATATAAGCATTTTAAATAATATGACCGTCCGTTTTTTGTTTTGACACCTACACCGCACCAATTATGATGAATGTTGTTGTTGCATTTATTAGAAAGACATAGGCTTCCTTGCATCACAGCCTCCTAAAGGGAATTAAAGTTTTACAGCCGAACATAGAACCTCCTTCTTTTTTGAAGTCGGTTAAAACAGTTTAGACGTAACTATTGCCTTTTCTTTGACTTTCGCCTTACAATCTGATAGGTTCAAGTATTCACATCTCTAGGAGAAAATGTTAGTTGGTTTTGCTACTATATTTAGAGGAACTGTAAAATCCAGCGTCTTTACTCGATTTTTATTAAGATTTATTATTTTATTATTGTCTTCTCGTATAATGTTTTGTCAATCAATAACATCTGTCATCTACTCTAATTCATATTTCCGATTTTTGTTTTTTGATACCTAGCTACCTACTTGTTGATTAATTAATCGATAAAAAAAGATCAACAGTAGCGGTCGACAAATGACGATTAATCTTAAAAAGATGAAGTGTATTTTTTAACGTTTTATGACAAAGCATTTGAGACACGAAAAGATTTGAGATACAAAGACGGTCGCCTCAGACTGTGATCCGCGTTCGAACGCCAGTTACGGGTTCAATTCCCGCTGGGGACAAATGTTAGGATGATGAGCATTTTTAACTGGAATCACCAATTATAATGTGCAGTAGTTTTATCTATTACGAATAAATATTTAGTGTAGGACTAAAAGTTGTGATAGTTACGGGACTATTCCCACCTCTCGTTCCCACCTCTGCAACTCCTGTGTAGCCGGAACAGCTTGACCGCCAATAAAAACCCAACCAGTGAAGGTCAAGTTCAACAAAATTTATTAGAAGAACATAGGAGGAGTTCGAAGTTAAGGTTCGACTTCCCTCCAGGTGCTGTGATAGCTAAAATCCAACCCTCAGGAAATACCTAACTAGTGCTAATAAAACGGCATTTTAATAATTTTCCTTCTGTGAGACGAGACACCGAATTAAGGTCAACGTTCCCATTATTACACGGAATCAAAAAACTAAAAGTTTAATTCTAAAGTTTGGTTTATTTTTTGCTTCCAAAACTAACTTTTGCTTCGGACAGTATGTAATTAGTCAGTTGCAAGTTGGATACGAGTGTAATTAGTTTCAACAAATGAAATTAACAAATTAACATTTGGAGATTCATTTTGCTAAGATGTTTTTTTTACCTATTTAATAATTGCCATTTTAAAAATCGTTGTCTAAGTATATAACGTAACGTAAAGTAGGTACCTAGTATATATGTCGCAGGCAAATTGTATGATTCCGCATTTTACAAACGGCGTCGTCAGTTCACAAACGCTCGCTGCTCTATGAAATGCCGAAGGCAAAATGTAAATTGCCTGGGCACTTTATAATATGCCAAAACATTTGATAGCCAATTCAATTGCTGTTTACAAAATGCCGCGGCAAATTGATGTATTTAGTTCTTTTTCTTACCACGCGAGGCGCTGCTAATCAAAACAAGAAAAATGGCGTCGAGTCGTGGTGTTGTGATACAGAAAACAGTGCAAATTCTACGTATTCAAAGGACTTTTCACATAAAAAGACATTGATTATACTTAGTGAATTAAAAATATTTTACGATTCATAAATAGGAGCAGTGAAAAAGCTATGGAAAAATGAAATAGTTTTTGAGGTTATCCGGCACGTAAAAAACGCTAAGGTGACAATGGAATCTGGTGCTCGGACTGGTGGTGGACTGCTGCGGAATATTATTGGTTTAAAAAAATATTGTGTTGTCTTCTAGACTTCTTCTAGGTATAATTAAAATGTAAGAATTAAAGGACTGACTATCGAAACTTATTGTATGTCATAGTTTTACCTATAGGTACGTACGTCAATAGTTTAAATTAGTTTAGTGTTGTTTTTAATACGAAAATATTTTAATTACTTTAGGAGTAGCAAGTATCTTAGGTTTGTCTTACCTGAATAGATACCTACCTGATTTCTGAAATTAAGTCTGATTTGTCCAACATGTGTTTTATGATGGTCACCCTATTGCAACAATCATAGTCGAAATTTTATCAATTGAACGAGTCGCCAATTTGCCTTCGGCATTTCATAGAACAGCGAGCGTTTGTAAACTGACGACGCCGTTTGTAAAATGCGGAATCATACAATTTGCCTGCGACATATACATACATATAAGTGTAGTAGCTATACTATGAAGTAGGTACTAACTTAAAGATATTCAATATAATGCATTTATACTTTGAAGTATTTATTATAACTGAATAAATAATAAAATACTTGGAAGAAAGCAACATGTAGGATGTGTCTGTATAAGAATATTATTTTGTTAGACATTATAATAAAATATCAAAGATTAGCATTAATATGCATATGAGATAAGCAAGTTTTCAAACCTTTTTTTTTAATTTGTTATTGTTTGTGTGTATGTTTATTTTCGAACCCGTTTAATATGGACTTATTATTGATATAAAGGTTTATATCAGTTTGCAAAATAGTCAATGAAAAAAATCATACATAGTCTGAAATTGGTAGTTTAGTAATTTATTGCGGACTTTACCAAAATGAAAACTGATCATCCCTTCCCTCAGATCATATACAGGCCAAAGGTTTTCCCCGTTGTGTTAAAAATGTCTCACGTCTTAAAAAAAAATTTGAAATTCATTTTTATAGCAAAGTATAGAAATCTCAGAAACTAATACACCTACAAACATCCGCTAAGAACGGATGTTACGAAAATCCACCCCTAAGGAGTTAATCGGGGTCCATGCATATAAAGACGCGGGCCGCTAGTTACTTATAAAAAGTAATGTATTTACATAAAGATACGTTTTTTTAAAAGATAAACTATCACCCAGGTAACACTTAGCGGTTTATTTTCTCCCTTGGGTCCTCTTAAGGATCATCTTCAAACAAATTGTTAATGCAACGTAATGAAAGCATATAATTTGATTGCGGTTTATCTTGCCTTAAGTGAGTCTGTATCGGAACAATAAAGAAGGGTCTCAGAGTAAGGACCGAATGATTAATATGTGTGAAAGGTGCAGGACAAAGATTTTTAACCTTAAATATGTATATAAAATGTACTGAAACTCAATGCTTTTAAGCTCTCTCTATTAAAGAATAAAGCCATGCTAACTCCCGCATGCGCTATTTGTGTTGTAACTAAGTAAGATAGGGTAACGGCACCAGTGGTCAGCCAGGAACCAGTGATCAGCCTATTGCGTTGTTTATTGGCCATAAATATCGCTGTAATCAAAATAACCAAAACACGGGCACTTAAATAGAAGCTCTGTTTCCTTATCGGTTCATGTATCATGCGATAGGAGCGGCAGGGGGTCAGGGGAGAGAAGTAAACACGTTCATACAGGTGCTGTCCGCCGATAAGAGCAGAAGTGTCATGTCCGCCATATTTTTTGTTTCACGTAGTGCTCTTTTGAAAGGTGAGAAATAACATATTTTAGTATGAAATGTGATTGTGTTTTATAGATAATAACTTTATACATTACTTAGTGCATTTAATTTTATGAAATTTGATAAAAAATATTGTTTTTTTACTTAAAAATTTGAGGGGCTGACCATTGGATACTGATTTTTTATGAAAGATCCAATGGACA